TCATCGACCCCATTGTCCACAAGAAGCGCCTCACCAAGGTGCTAATGGATGGAGGCAGTGGCCTCAACATCCTCGAGCCGGACATCTGCCGGGAGGCAGGTTAAGGAGTAGCAAAATGCCACATGAGGGCTATGCCGACCCCGTCACGAACGACGGACCTAGATTCCGCTCGAACGCGCCCATTAGTGAGCTCACCGAGCGCGTCACTCGAGCCATCGAGGCAAGCGACGTTAGCTCAGCCCCTCCGGTTGCGGAAACCCAGACAGGGTAACGCACGGAACTAGACCTACCCCTCCCGAACCCAACAGGGCTCAGGGCCTCAGGTCACCCGACGTCGACTCGGAAAGTCAACCGACTACGCAGGTCGTGGGCGGGACAAACACGGGCGAACACCCCGAACGGCAGAAACACTGTGGCCCCAGGAAAGAGTACCAAGATGCTCAGCCTCCAACCGACTCACCAGTCGAACGCAGGCTCGGGGGCTACACCCGCTGGCAAGTCGAAAAATCCCCCCAGACTATTCTACCCTAATCGCCCGGGGGCTACACCCACCAGGTGCGCTCGCGCGCACCCGCTGTCAAAACGAAAAAAACCCCGGACGATTCTACCTGAATCGCCTGAGGCTCGGGGGTTCCTGTCGGGTTCATAAACCCGGGGTCCCTAATGGACCTGCTTCCCAGCAGACGACGTTGCAAATGATGCGGAACTTCTGGGCCGGCCCAGATACCTAACGACGGGTCGGAAGAGCCGACTGGGAAATGACCGAACGGGGACGCCCGCTCGGTAAGGACCCAAAAAATCAGGCGGAGCTAGTAAGACAGGGCGCTCAAGTCAAGCCACAATACCAAGGACCGTACCCTGCACACCTGTAGGACAGTACTGTCAGGTCATGTCAGAAGGGTGCTTTATAACCTTCCAGACATGTCAAAACAACGAACAGTGTTGTGGGCGTCGACATTTGTCCTACAGTATGGTAGGCGCCGACATTTGCCATAACAGAAGAACACGATGAAACCAACTACATGCATCTGAGCGTTAACAGTATTGTGGGCGCCGACAAACCGTCTTGTACCCGACGGCGTGGGCAACAAGACTAGGTAGCGCACACACTCTCTCTCACTTGTAAGGCCGTCCCCTTCATCTATAAAAGGGGATGCGCCCTCTCCCAACAGGGACGGATAATTCAGAGGATCGATTTGACGAACAACAGACAACACACGGATCATTCCGACTCACTCTCTGCTAGTTTTAGACATTCTAAAGCTACATAAAGCGCACGTTCGAATACCTAGCGCACGTAGGAGCTCCCGTCACTCTCGGCCCTTCAGTCCAGATTCCGACCGGACCTCTTATACTCCCCATCTTACTCCCATTCGTTTGTAACCCCACAACAAACTTCGAGCACCTGGGCTCAGTAATAAAGTCATCGACATTCAAACTGGACGTAGGGAACGTTGCTTGAACCAGTATAAAACCCTGTGTCATTGAGTGTTAGGCCACATCTGATCACAACGTACGGCAAAACAACAAATATTTAGTAGGTGGTCACTTTTTGCACCGACACTGTCGGTTTAACCAAAGCCAATAATAATACTTGGAGGCACTTCTCACTATCTGATTTTTGTTGCCGCCTTATCACTATGGGTTCTAGGGCAACCTGCACAGATAGCGAGATACATGTGGTTGTGAGTCCACGCTCAGACAATTGTTAAGGTGGAAGGTACTATTTGACAACTCTCTCTCTGTTCCTAGAAAAAGCCATTATCGTTTCCTAAAACATCAACAACTTTTAACTTTGAACAAATATATTTAAAAAAATATTAATATTTATGGTACATAATTAGTATCATTAGATAGATCGTTGAATATACTTTCATAATAAATTTATTTGGAGATATAAATGTTGCAATTATTTTCTACAAATCTAATCAAAGTTAAAAAAGTTTGACTAGCATGATTCCCATAGCGACTTTTTTTTAGTGACGGAGGCGGTATATATCATCCATAATCTTTGGGAGTTCATCTAATTTTATAAAGATATTAAAGATAGTGTTTAATTAATTTGGTCTGCCCATGAATGACCCTGGTTGCAGCCGAAGTTCTTGACTAGTACAAGCACACACAGCATGCATGACAAGGACGCTGACAGAATCAGCAAACCATCCTCCGCCTAAACATACACCTACTTAATAAAGAGGGAACTTGCATTTCAGAAACAAACTGTTATTAATATATATCGGTCTCAACTCTCAACACACAACCGGACTGACGAAGAAATGGCCTGAACATAACAACCCGGCCGGGGTCCATTGTTCGTCCCTTTCACAGCCGCTGAAACCGCAATGACACGCCAGAGAAAGTGCAAAACGGCAAAAAACCAAACGAACTGGCTTTATTACGATCAACCAGCGACATCATCAGCGGCCATTAGTCTGTCTGTCAATTTCCGTAACCGCCGAAGGATTGCAACGGCGCAGAGAAAAAAAAGGTCTTCTTCCTGCAGCTTTCGATCCCAAAGTCAAGGAACGAACACAAAGGTACGTACTACTTTCAGTTGAGCAGCAGCTGCTGCATCTGCATGCATGCAGTTGCGGCAGGCAGCAGCCACCAACATTTTCACGGCCAGCCGGCGGCGGCCATGGATCGATCACAACCAATTCGAGACGATGGATGGACCGATGGATCGGTCGGTGCATGCAGAAGCAGAATGTGTGGCGCGGCGTCTACCTCGGTCAGCAGTGCTGCAGCGTCTTTTGGTTTAGGTGAGCCTAAAACATCAGAGGCTAGCTATTACTACCGGCTCCGGTAGGAACCATCATTTAAAACAACGAATCCTGTCAAGATCATCATCTGGTAGCCTGCTGGCTGAACTGAAATTAAGAAGCGGCTTTGTTCAGTGTATAAGCGGAGGAGCGCATGTATACCCCAGTTTCAACGATATGTCCACACATGAAGAGTCGTATTCGTATAGTAGAAGCGGTACGTGCGTGCAAGTGGGATCTCATGGCAGTAGAGGCCGTTCTTTGTTTGCAGAAGAAGAGAAACCTTTTTAGTGAGTCAGCTAGCCTGGACGAGAGATGTATACATATCCACAAACGGATGGATGACGCGGAGCACACGGCGTAGAGATGGAGCCCTATCTCATCTATCGCCGTACCTTCCAATGGACCGGATCGTCTGCCTGCTAGCTTAATTCCTCCAACAAAGTGGCGCTTTCCCTGCTCGCGTCGCCGTCGGCGCGCCCGTCCGGCCGCTGTCGTCGTCCGGCCCCGGTGCACGCGCGAGCGAGCTCTACCACGCGTCTTGATGAGGACACGCCTACGATGCCAATAATAAACCCAATCTTTCACGGTACAAATCAACCAAATCAACGGCAATAATTATCAGATAATTTGGCACTCAAATAAAAATCCAAGCAATAATGACTTTACTCGGTCAACTGAAAATAGCTATGATTAATTTAAGCGGCCCAGCACAGTAGAAGTAGTAATTTGATTGGATGAAACTAACGGCAATAATATTTGAACCAAACTCAATATACGTGAGGCAACAGCAGGATAGCACGCCAGATAATCCTCACGTAAGGCAATATTCAGAATAAAGATTTGGATACCTTGAATAAATATCACGTAGACAAATTGATCGTAGGTTCCGACCAATCCGTACAAGCAAATCCAAGTCGTGCAGATAAACAAAATCAATTGAAGGATAATATACTCAGCTTGCAAGTACTCAACGTAGATGCAATCCAAGCAGTAGAAGTTCTCCAACCCGTGCTCTAAAACCAATTAGGGCACGATCTAGAGAGGGGATTCCAACAGGAACCAATGCGAGCCCGAGAATCAATTCTCGATCACACACCAACACAAATCCGCGAGGATCCGGCAACACCCACTAGGGTTTCACGAGCGGCGGCTCGACGAGGAATAACTCCACAATAAAATTCAACCTGACCTTCCTTACATGCCGACCCAGGACTTTTATTAATGTGCACGTAGGCACTCTGGACTCCACGAGGCCAGAACCAGGTTCGGCTCAAACAAGTGCACGCAGGCACCATGACCATCTAATTGACTCCAACTATGACTCGTACACATGACTCCGACACACAGGTGACATGAACCAAAATTATAAAAGGAAGCAAACTTGACATGCTAGCTACCACTTCATCTAAAAGAAAATATACTAAAATAATGCGGCTACATTGCTAATCACCATATTTAGCCTTCCTAATCAAACGAAGCCACTAGCAACTCACGTCAATAAAATTGGAGTCAATCTTCAACTTGCTTCATATATCTGGTGGCTTCTTAAATTGGCATAATTCCTTTTCTTTGGATAAATTAGCTCCACCAAATATAATCGAGTTTGGCATAGTAGCAGTAAAATATATATTTTCAGCCTTCATCACATTTTGCTTCGCATAAAAAAAATGAATCAAACTGAATAACTTGACGAGCCATGGTCTCGTCACGTCTGGCCTCACAAGGCTCCACGTCGGCGCCGAGCCATGCATGCAACATTCAGTAACTTACCACTGTAGTTAATTAGCTTCTGAAGCTACGATCGAAGTACGCGCGCGTACAGTACAGGTGACAAATCATCTCAAATTAATTAAACCGTATATTTATACGGAGCGTGATAATGTACATCTGTATCTTACCCATCATCAACCCCTCTCTATATACTAGCTATAGCTACGAAGGGAGATCATCAATTGACGACGATGTACCGTATTTATACGGTACGAGAGCGTACGTCTCCGATCCCCTTTCGATGTGTATATATACATATATAGAAATACTCACTCACTCACGGCGTACGCATCTGGGAGTAGCATCGGTTGGATACTCCCAGCGGTCGCAAAGCAAGCCCACACATACCGTACATATACATGCTATGATGCGTATACGTACTTACAGACATATACGGCGGTCCGTGTACGTACGTACTCCAATAAGGATCTCTCCCAGCAGCAGCAGCAGCTTCAACTGAAGTAGTTAGAAGCTGATTGGGTAGACGCGCTGCATGTTGGGGTAGAAGAGCCCCCAGTTCTGCTCCACGCCGCTCTCCTTCTGGTTCTCGTTGAACATGGAGAAGAGGTACGTCTCGATGGCGCCCGGGTGCCGCGGCGTCCCGCGCCCGACGTGGTTGATCAGGTACTGGTTGTACACCCTCGCGTTCGCCGGCGTCGCCTCCACGCCGCCGCCGGACGGCCACCCGCTCTCCGACACCACGAGCGGCACGCCGGAGCCGCCGTTCCTGCCCATGGCGACGTAGAAGGCGTCGACGGTGGTGTCGAAGAGGTTCTGGTACCCGTACGCGCCGTCCTGGACCACGGTGCCAGAGGACGTGAAGAGCGCGTAGCTCATGTCCATGGCGCTCGGGTTGTAGGCCCAGGCCAGGTACGGGTAGATGTTGGCCATCAGCGGCGACCCGGTCCGGGCCAGGAACTCCAGCACGGGGCCCATGTACCCCTGCGCCTCCCCCGTGAACTGCGCCGCCGACGGCGGGCTGTACACGCCCAGGATGGCCTGGGAGACCGACGTCGTCACCTTGATGTGGCCCAGCCCCGCCGCCGCCAGCGCCGCGTGCACGTTCTCCATGGCGGGCGCCAGGTTCTGCGCCGCGCCGCCCGCCACCTCGTTGCCCACGCACACGTAGCGGAAGGACACGGACGGGTACGCCTGGATGTTGTTGCGGACCCAGGAGGCCGCCGCGGCCGGGCTGCCCGCGATGCTGGACAGCACGTCGTTGGGCGCGCCCACCGTGACGCTGATGCCCGTGCCGCCCACGGCCTGCAGAGCGCCCTGGTCGGGCGCGTACAGGCGCATCGCCGAGATGCCGTTCGACTTGTACATGCTCACCACCGTGCTCGCCGGCGGCAGGTTGTTGGCGCTCATGCCGTAGCACACCCCGATGGCCTCAACACCTGCACGCACCGGTACGTACCAGTAGTTAGTTGATGTAATAATGTAACTCTCGCGTTATTATAATTATGAATTAATCATCCCGTGCTTGTATTATTAACCGCGGTAAATTTATTACTTTACTGTATTATTCTAATTAAGCAGTAAAAATACGATGAATGGATTACTACCAGCAAGAAAGAAATGAAGAAAGTGTGCAAATACTACAACTGAACAGCAAGCAGGTGCATGAGAAACACATCCGCAGCCTTTTGACCTGATGTTGGAAATCCACTGCATTTCCTAACCCTAGAGGAAAGTGACATTTAACTGAAAATTTGTATTTATGCATGGACGCTCAGCTCAGGCATCTCCTAACATGCATATTCCTTTTCTCTGGAGGACCCTTTATTGCTGATGTTACGTGAAACCATTTTTTTTATCTTTTTTTACAGTGAGTCTCAGTTGGTGGTGTCAAATGCACGCACTGCCGAGGAATATTTTGCCCGCAGCTTGACCGGGTTGTCGCTGCGTGCAAGAAAGTAGGAGTAAGTACGTGGATTAGCTCGCTCGTGGCGACCGAGCTAGAAAGCAACCTTAAACCACGGAATAAACTTTGACCTGCTGGTGAGTGAGTGCAACTTTTGAGTTAGCTGACCCAGCTCCCTCTGTTTGCACTGGTTCACATCCTAGTTCTACCTTAACTTTGACTTTGCAGAAAATATGCCGGAAAGCAGGTAACCTTACTATTGTTTTATCCTTTTGAAAATTGGTAAAAGATTTTTAACAGGCGTGCTAGTACGGCACTGTTAGTCAACCTAGGAAATGGATTAGGAATTGTATGCTTAGAGAGAGATGGAGAAGTAGAGGACCACATGATGCGAGAGAGAGAGAGAGAGAGAGAGAGAGAGAGAGAGAGAGAGAGAGAGGATTGGATGTGGGGACGGATAAAGCTCTTGGTCCAACGTCCGCACCACGACCGTTGGATAGTTCACGTATGATCGATGTGGATCGCCAAAGCCGTTAGCTAGCTAGCCTAACCGGCCGGCCCGTGCGTATCAGGGCTAACTGCCTAGCTACCTCTCTCACACATACTTTATTTGTATGTACATATACATATACGTATATATATTCTCTTCCATTGAATTGTTGGTAGAGCTTATATATATGCCTCTGTCGAGAGAAAAGATTGATGTGCAGGTGTAGTACTGCAGCTGACAAAGTGTATCCTGATTAGACGACCAAGACTACTCATCTGCTCGTATAGCAACCTTTATGATTTGCACCTGGTCGAACTAGCCCTATTCATGCATTAATAATCTATATATTTATGTATCCATTACTAATTTATTTAATCTAATCCCCAATGCAATGCAAGTGAGTCGGTTGGTTGTGCTGCATGGATGCATGGCTAGCCGGACCAGCAGCGCCATTAATTCGATGATCATCCTGCACCACCAGCCGTATCGTATAGTAGCTAGCTTAGCTAATCATCAAATCAAGCTTGAAGAATGGAGCAGCTGTGCCGCACGTACACACGGCAGCTGTGCATAGCAGAGACGCTGGCCGGCCGGCCGGCCGGTGCGGCATCATGCGTCGCCGCTGACGAAATGTCAATAGCTAGTGACGACGCGACGACGGCCGGCGAACCGATGGAGTGGAGGCAGCAGACGCAACGGAAAAGGATGGCCTGGCCAGCGACAGGGTTAATTGGTTTGTTGCCTCGCTTGGTTGTCCGTTCTCCTCTCATCAGGATCGAATCATGCATCACCGGCGACCTAGCTATCCTATCCAGGTCAGGAATCTGAGCAGTGGTAGCTATGACTGGCGTCACAGTAGCGGCACAGAAAAGCTTGCACGCATGCATGCATGGCCAGATAGACTGCAAGCTCTCTGGGGCGGCCGGCCGGGTTAACTTTGTGATTGATGGTTTAAGAAAGATGCATGCATGGTTAGGAGGCAACTAGTAGGAGTACTACTACTAGTAGCTAAAGTGACGTGAGCGTGCTCACCGAACAAATTAAAGGCACTAAGGCAGACTTCATTTGCAAGCTTGTATGTTGCATGCATGCACTGCCCCAGCAGGGGCGCATACAGTAACTTTATTAGCTTCCCATATTTCGCCGTCAACTTTCTGTGCTTTAGCTAGCTAGGGGCCTTTAGATACTAGCTAGCCGGCCAGAAACATCGTTTTCTAGGTGATTGATAAAGATATTAATTAGCCAAAAGGCCCAACTGGTTAGAGCGTCCCAGCAGCACTTCTCAGGTCCTGGAAAGCACAGGTCTAAGGAACAGCCTTGTTCTCACAGGGGTACAGTGCCGTTGTGTATAGGTGGGGTAGGGGATCGGGGGTTTTCTGAACCTACGTGAGAAGGTTCTTCTTCTTAATGCAATGCCCGGGGTGCCTTTCCCCCGCAGGTCCAGTTTTGATAAAGATATTAATTCCTAGAGGAACAGTATATATGCTTAAGATATTGTCCCTATCCAACTTTCTTTTCATTTGGAAAAAAAATTACTGACCTACAACAACACACATATATTTTTTCCCTCTGCTGTAAAAAAGTAAAAAGACATGCACCTAAATTCCACTTTGATGTCTACCTGCTGCTGCAGACCCGGTTCAGCATGCACGTGAAAGCAAGTTTTGCAAGCAAAGAAAAAATATTAATGAATACCAGTCCATAAGCAAGCCGGCAGTCAAAATTTGGGCTCCTTGATTTTCTTACGAAAGTGACTGGCATCAAGAAAAAAAATACTACTGTTCCATTGATGCAGGAGTGATCCATGGGGAGTGAAGGAGACGCCGTTTACCCTGTGACCTAGACAGAATAGATAAAACGCAGAAAGAAAGCGACACAGGCACCACCAAATGGACCGGCCGGTTTTGACGGCTAAAGGGATCCTTGCATGACGTTGTTGATGAGAGAGGGATGTGTGTGCGCTTCTGCCTCGCTCCTATATTATCTATCTACTCACCCATGACATGGCAACGTAACTAATCTTCTAATCTAACCCAGGTCAATTTAGTTACTACCTGCTTCCTCTGAGGAAGTCTTCTGCTATGTATGAACAGTGCACAAACAAAACTGCTACATACCCTACTTACTAGCTAATCATTTTTTTTCAAGATGCATGCATGCAAGAGAGAGAAAGAGAGAGAGTCAGAGAGAGAGAGAGGTAATCACTTTGTGGGATGGATGCAAAGACCCCGAGGAGCGATGCCATGGCGAACATGGAGGCTACACCTTGCCTGCTTGCCATTCTCTCTCAACAACCTCTATCTCTCTGTTGTCTTGAAGGGCTGGCTAGTTAGCTAGCAGCAGAAGGCCGGCCAGCACTCTCTTTCCTGGCTATGCTAACACGCCTCTCCAAGCTAAGAAGACTCTTTCTCTCTCTGCTTGGCTTTGCTGAATTGTGTTTCCTTGGCGATACAAATGGTGGCAGCAGGCCCCTTATATAGATGCCAAGGATCGGAGAGAGCCGGACAGGGTTCGGTCCAATCCACTTGAAAATCCGGCCCTCTCCAGCAGCAGCCAACTTTAGTTTAGCCTATTCCTATTGACGGCTGCTGGCGTCACGAGTCCCACAGTGTCGGGTAGCCAGAGGTTATCCGGTACACTAGGTTGTTGTGACTTGTGACTAGGGGTTTCATCTCATACCAAACTACTTTTGAAAAACGGGTTTAAATTTCCAGGAGCCATGATGTTCTATGAAAGGGAAGTTTTTAGGTCAACCGCGAGGACGCGGCGCGCCGAATCGGTTTTCTCGACGTAGTTTGGTGGTCGGCGGAGAGTGTGCATGTCTTACTCAGGAAACATTCGGCGCGCGTGTGTCGGTTTTTTTACGACAATTTTTTAAGTTTTAAAAGTCGACACGACTTGACTATTAATTACCTAGATGACTTCTTTATATGGGAATATCTAATTTTTGAAGTTTTAGAAGTCGACACGACTTGACTATTAATTACCTAGATGACTTCTTTATATGAGAATATCTTTATATGGGAATATCTAAGACTTTGAGGTAACTACTGTTGCATACTCTTTTCTCATGAGGTCATCTAGCTAGATATTTTCTTCCACAATCACGATCAAATCCATTAGGGTAGAGTTTAACCGCCGTCCTTGTGGCATCAAACTCTTGCTGTTCTCCTATATTTGTCAATGAACAATAGCAAGTCACCCTAAGTTGAACTTCATTTATAGATTCCATAAATCTGTTGTGAGAAATTCATAGTTCAAATGATGACAAAAGTAGTGTGTATTTGGTGTACCTAATTAATAATCTCTTATGAACCAAAGAATTACTTGCACCACTTTAATGAGTATTAGGTGCTCCATGGACTCCAACATGCCCATGTATACACCTTTTTCAGAAGATTAGTTCCACTTGAGTTGGTGCATGGTTTATCAAATTAAAGAAGATTGGTTGATTTGAATTTATCAGCTATATAATTTTTTTTCATAGTTTCTTTTTTAAAAAAAACTAATTAATAATAATTCTAGAATTATTTATAGTCACTGAGACAGAATAATACAACTAACTTCTATGGGTATATATACCAGGCCGGTTACGATCCTGTTGGTACCATATATTCTTCTTCTCGTATGCTACTATTTGCAACCCTGAACAACGAACTGGCTTGCTCTACCATCCAACCGTTGAAAATTTTATAATGCTAACCTGATCTGTGGATAGGAAGGCACATGCTGTTGCTATCGGTGTGGAGTCCCGTTATGCAACTGCTTTCTAGTATAACTACTAATGAAGAGATAAAATTAGGTGTACCAAATTGGTTCACACAACAAAAGCAGCTGCTAGCTGATCCATATATACTCTTGTAGTACATGTATATATATGTGAGTGATTAATAAATTAATATTTGTGATAAACAGTTAGTTCGTTTTGAACTAGAGATATATTCAACTCCAGTAGTGATCCCTGGCACAATTGACATACTAATACAGTATATGCAGAAGCTTCCTATTACTCGC